CCTAAGACTTTGTTTCTGCTGGTACAGCACTTGATCAATGTAATTCTCATCAATCAAAGAGCTTTCCGAATGTGAAAAAAAAGTTTTTGCACTCTGCAAACACTCCTTGCAGAGTGCTCCTGGGAAGGGGGGGGGGCAAAAATCAGCAAAAAACACCCCGTTTTCCATGAAAATGTACCCATTTTTCATCAAAAAAATTGCATGCATAGCCTTATAGTGGCTTATAGAGTGCTGCTGGGGTTGGGGTGGCAAAAATGGGCCATTTTTTGCTCATTTCCACCCTCCCCAGCTCTCAGGAGCTCTCTGAAAGCCTCCATAAGGATATGCACAGCCATTTTTGTGAAGTGGCAGGGCTTCGGGAGCCAAAAAATACTGTATTTGGTGTATAAGACACACCCAGATTTTCAGCCTCTTTTTTGAGGGAAAAAGGTGTGTCTTATACTCCGAAAAATACTGTAAATGAATAGCAACCCTGCTATCCACCCTAACTGAATTCCTGCATATAGAAGGGATGAATGTGATATTTAAATCACCGTTTCTCAACCTTGGTAACCTTAAGATGTGTAGACTTCAACTCCCAGAATTCTCCAGTCAGCATGCTGGTTGGATATTTCTCAGAATTGAAGTGCACACATCTTAAAATAGCCAAGGTTGAGAAACACCGATCTAACTCTAGGATGTGCTAAGTTCCTTGCAGGCCAGAGAGATCCTGTGGAAGATTGAGTATCTTCTTCAGCAGATGATTGAGAGGGGAAGATGATGATTCTGAAGATAGAAGAGAAGAACCTGGCTTGGATTAAGAAACCCGTTCTATCCATCTCAGAATAACATGCCTGCTGTCTTTTAAAAATATCACTGCTGTTCTTGGCCCTGATGATTTTATTCTTTCTCTTCACAGGGTTTCAGACAAACTGAAGCAGTCACCACAGTCCCTGCCGGAAGCCAACAGCACCGATTCCGGGTTGATGCTGCCAGAGAATGGCTCCCTCTTGTCACTCAGCACACTGGATCTTGCCTTCTCCCAGCTTAAGGACCGGTTGCAGAACATCACTTTGCAGCTCGGTGGGACTCTCCTGGCCCCCACTCAAAGGACACGGAAACATGTTCTCCTCATGGCCACCACCCGTACTGGATCTTCCTTCGTAGGGGAATTCTTCAACCAGCAGGGCAACATTTTCTACCTCTTCGAACCCCTGTGGCATATAGAAAGGACCGTATCTTTCGAATCGGGCGGCGCAAATGCGGTGGCCTCGGGTCTTGTCTACAGAGATGTTCTGAAGCAGCTCTTCCTCTGTGACCTTTACATTTTGGAAAACTTCATCGTCCCGTTCCCCGAGGATCACCTGACTCAGTTTCTCTTTCGGCGGGGTTCAAGCCGCTCGCTGTGCGAGGAGCCCGTTTGCACCCCCTTTGTCAAGAAGGTCTTTGAGAAGTACCACTGCAAGAGCCGTCGCTGCGGCCCCCTGAATGTGACTCTGGCCATGGAGGCCTGCCTGCGGAAGGAACACATGGCCCTTAAGGCGGTCCGAATCCGACAGCTAGAATTCTTGCGCCCGTTAGTCGAAGACCCCCGCCTGGACCTGAGGATAATTCAGTTGGTGCGGGATCCTCGGGCGGTGCTGGCCTCCCGCATGGTGGCTTTTTCGGGTAAGTATGAAACCTGGAAGAAGTGGGCTAACGAAAGGGTGGCCACCCTTAACGCGGATGAAGTCCAGAGATTGAGGGGCAATTGTGAAAGCATCCGACTGTCGGCTGAACTTGGTTTGAAGCAGCCATCATGGCTCCAGGGTCGCTACATGCTGGTCCGCTATGAGGACATTGCCAGGTCTCCTCTCCAGAAAGCCCAGGAGATGTACAAATTCACCGGCATCGCTCTCACCACGCAGGTGGAGGACTGGATCCGGAAAAACACACAGGCCCCTGAAGATAGCAACGGCATCTACTCCACCCAGAAAAACTCCTCCGAACAGTTTGAGAAGTGGCGATTCAGCATCCCCTTCAAACTGGCACAGGTGGTCCAGAACGTCTGCACACCAGCCATGAAACTCTTTGGCTACAAGTTGGCCAACAGTGCCGAGACTCTTACCAACAGATCCATCAGCTTGCTGGAAGAGAGGAGGAACTTCTGGGTCACGTAAAGGTTTGCCTTCATTGGTGGATTTTTTCTCTCCAGTCATAGCATTCTTTGAATTGAGAAGAAAGTGAATGCAAGAATATGTATATTGAGGAAGGAACACATGGGCAGGAAATGTTGGGGGATAGGTTGCTTCCACTGGTCTTGAGCATTCAAGCAAAGAGCTTTTGGCTTTATCTGGAAGCAAGCATCACTTGCTAGCATATTTGACACTTCCAGGTGGATTTTAATGGGACCACAACACTTGACACAAGGAAGTATTCTGAAGCTAACACAGAGTGGAGGATTACACCCTGTGTCCCAGTTTCCCTACCTCATGTCCACATGCTTTCTGTCGGAGATGTTGTCTCTCACCTTCACCAGACGTCCAAAGAGAGTGAATGTTTTATATTTAAAAATAAATTTATCACTTGGAAGAAAAACCATGGGCTTTTTGACTTGCAGAAAACCTGCGAGAGAAGCAGAATGTTGCACTGATCTCCTCTAAGGCAGCCTTAAAGAATCTGTCAACCAGATATTTGGGAAGGGAAGGAAAGAAAAGCTATTTAGCACCACTGACAGCGAGAAAGCTGCTCCATGTGTAGACAGAGCGTGTTTTGTACACGCTTTCCCCTAAAACCCTCAGATAAATTGAGGCCTTGTTTTAAATGGTGTGACTGGAGAAGAGAGATGCATGGCATAGAACAGAGGTGGCTCTTACCTGTGAGAAGACTTTGGGCCACACACAGTTTTATGCACTTAGTACTGTTTTTATCCTAACTCACTCAGTGCTTTGAGAGATTTCAAGCAAACAAGCAATGAAATATTCTAAGAGAAAGAGACTGGAACAATAGTCACCCTATCTCTGTGGACATGAACTTTTCTTATGCCATTAGTGGTTGTGCTGTCCATTAGCCTTTTCTTTTTTTTAAAGTATTTCGTCTACTTTTCTTACTTATCTCTGAATCAGTTGCTTCATCTGGTGTCTGGAACACTAAAGTGAAGAATGCTGCTTTCTCATCCCATGAAAGGAAGCGGCAGCTTTTAATTGTATTTTTCCTCCTTCACCCCTATAATTGTTTCTGTCCTTCAAAGTGATGTTGGAAATTGACAGTACTTCCCTTCTGTAATTTCTGGGGAGATGGTTTCTTCCAAGCCACATTTGTTGAAGCAGAAAGAGGGAAATCTTGGAAGCATTTGGTGGGATGCAATTTTTTTTACTGCCGGTTCTGTGAGCGTGGCTTTGTGGAAGGGGAAGGATACTGCAAAATCCCCATTCCCTCCCCACCCCACTAACGTCCTTCCCAGCTCCATTTTCCTGTGCAGGGCAACAAAAGAAAGCTGGGAGGCAGCTGGGCAGGGCCAGCCTATTTGCCGGTTCTCCGAACTACTCAAAATTTCCACCACCAGTTCTCCAGAACCTCTCAAAACTGGCTGAATACCACCTCTGCTTAGAAGAGGGGAGAGAGCTGGTGGACTTCCTCAAGAGGAAGGCAGCAAAAATAACAGACACCTAAAAAGTCTGGTTGCCACTCTAAAATTCCCCTGACTAATTATCAGGGATGGATCCAGCAGGAAATACCTAATGAATTTCACTTAGCTGTTCATCAGAAGCACTTATTATCATGGTAGAAGGAATATAACCCAACTGGGAATTTGGTATTTCATTCCCCCAGTGGAAGCCATATCAGGAGCTTGATTGCCAAACAAAAAAAGTACTCGCAGGCAATTCAACCTCCTTTTCTCTGAACCTGGTTGGAATCCAATTCCTCCCACCTCCTCCAAATTCCCAGCAATATTATTTGGTAAGATTTTCAACATATTCAATTTTTGGGAAAGATTGACATGGATTATCACGTCCCATTTTCAGTTAATCAATGGTTAGATTAATATCAGGGACTGAACACACACACACAGTCACACACACACACACACACACACACACACACAGAGAGGGAGAGAGAGAGAGAATAAAGTATGCTTGTCGCCTCTCTGTGCAGTTTCATTAACAATCAGAGTCACCTGTGATTGTCTGGCAGTGCTAATTTAACACCTAAGCTCTATCTTTTCTTATCTGTGGTGAGAAGAACATTTAATGCTCCAGCAGTTTTTGTTCCTTTTCCTTAACAAAACAAAAAAAAAAGACAATCATTTAAATAACTATTTCTTTTCTTCTTTTCCATGGAGCACTGCAGTGAATAGGTGACCGCATTTGTTTTGATACACTCCAGGTAACAAAGATCGATATGACCATCATTTGGTTTCATGGCATTGACTGAATGAGCAGGGATGGGCTTCGCGTA